TCTTATACACTGAATACAGCATTTTTGGTCTCCCAAAACTTTACCCCCTTTACCAAAATGGCCGTGCATAGCCTTTAGGAGGCTTCCAAAGTGCTCCTGGGGACTGGGAAAGGCAAAAATGAATGGAAATGGGCCATTTTTTGCTAGTTTTGCCCCCCTCCCCCCAAGCCACCAGGAGCACTCTATAAGCCTCCTAGAGGCTATGCATGCCTTTTTTCTTTTTACAAAAGACAGGCCCGTTTTCATGAAAAACGGGCCATTTTTGGGAGGTCTACAGAGCTCAAACACTTTTTTTTTAAAATTTGGGTCTTCAAAATCTTGGTGCATCTTATACTGCAGTGTGTCTTATACTCCGAAAAATACGGTATGTCTAGATATGTGGGAACTGTCCCAGACAGCCTGGCCATTCTGGATTTTCCCAGAAAACTTTAGGTTTTTGCTATAACTCAGAGAAAAGATGTGCTACTTCAGTTCAAGTAACTTAATATAGAAATTGAAACAGGGCTGCTCAAGTAACTTTGGAAAAACATTTTGGGCTGAAGCCCACAACTTTCTATTTATATGCTGGAAAGCTATGAAGAAATGTTGCTGTCTATTATATCAACATTTTCTTTCAAAGATGGGAACTGTTTAAGGAGTACTTCCTTTTAAATTCAGTTTCCTTGTTGTAGAATGAACTATTTCAAACCTGACTCTGGTTTAATAGAAAATGTAATTAAATGCAAGTGAGTTTCCTCATCCCCTCTACCCCGACCTCTTGCCATTGCCTCTTGATTACATTTCCAATAGGAAAGAAGTGATAATGCTTCTAGATGAATTGCTACTGTCATTCTACATGAGACTAATTGATATAATTTTCTATTGATTATCTGAAAATAACTCAATTAGCCTTCCCCACTGTGGTATTTTTCTTATGATGTGTTGGTAATGGGAATTGTGATTCATTATATCATGTTGAGAGATGTCAACAGATAGAGATAAGTTGAACTAGATACCGTATTTTTTGGAGTATAAGACGCACCTTTTAGTCTCAAAAAAGAGGCTGAAAATCTGGGTGCGTCTTATACACCGAATACAGCATTTTTTTTCCTCCTTAAGCCTTGCCCCCTTCACCAAAATGGCCTTGCATAGTCTTATGGAGCCTTTTAGAGAACTTCTGGAGACTGGGAAGGGCAGAAATGAGCGAAAAATGGCCCGTTTTTGTCCCCCCAACCCCTAGCAGCACTCTATGAGCTTCCTAAAGGCTATGCATGCAATTGTTTTGACAAAAAACGGGCCCATTTTTGTGAAAAACAGGCCCTTTTTTGCTCATTTTTCGCCCCCACTCCCCAGGAGCACTCTGCAAGCCCCCTAAAGGCTATTCATACCTTTTTTTAAAAAAATGGGCCCATTTTCATACACACACACACACACACACTATATATATCTATATAATATCCTTCTATCTACCTACCTACTTTCTCTCTCTCCTATATTTCTCTCTCTCTCTTTATTTCTCTCTATCCGTCTACCTACCTACTGTATTTCTCTCTCTCTCTCTCCCTCTATCTACCTACCTACTCTCTCTCTATCCCTACCTACCTACTGTATTTCTCTCTCTCTCTCCCTCTCTCTCTCTCTCTCTCTATCTATCTATCTATCTATCTATCTATCTATCTATCTATCTATCTATCTATCTA